TAGAACAGATTTGTTTTTGGCCTCTCTTTTCTAAAATGGCAGTCATAAACCAAAAATACAGGTAGATGATCACTAATATCATTTATAAGTAATCCACTTGTCATTTTGCTTTCAATATCATTGGTAAATATATTATCTATTAGTGTTGCATGCTGTGTTGTTAATCTACTTGGTTTTGTAATTTTTGGGTATAAACTGCATCTATGTAATGTGTTAATAAACTCCTCCGTTCCTGTGTGCTTGTTAGGATTTAACAAATCTATATTGAAGTCACCACATATGAACATTAATTTATGACTTATTGTCAAATAGTTCTCCTCCATCCAGTCATTAATTTTTTTTATGCTGGCTCCAGGTGCTTTATAAATACAGCTTACTACAACCTTTTTCTTTTTTTCCACCTTGAAAAGATCTTTTATTCTCAGGAACTCACAATATTCAGAATTACTAAACTTTAATTCTTCCAGCTAAAGACTGTGGTATGCAACCTCTGAACACACACTTCTGTGCCACAACAACAACAGGACTCTGGTGAGACCAGCCTCGGAGCAGTGACCCCTGTCACAGCTGAGAAGTGGTTCACCTCGAAGAGCGAGGCAGTCAAATCCAGAGACTACAGATTTGTGCTGAGCTCACGACCATCTCTGAACTCTGGCCTGAAAGGGTCCCGAACCCAACGCTTCTCCTACCCTGGCCACATGAGCCCCACTAAAAGACAAGTGCCCTGCCTCTGTGGCAAAACTCAATGTCTCATAAAACCGTTGGTTAATCGTTCTCATTACAAATGTACCATGTCATTGCATATTGCCTTCTGACTCTTTTCCTTTGGGTACATAATGTAAACACATTTATTTAGATTAATCGTTGGTCTCTTATTTCCAGTAACTTGGAATGAACTGCAGGATCCATTGCTTTCAGATTGAGACCGAATTAATTACCCGGATTAACAAATTCACCGGCAGTTTGATAGAGCTAAAACCATCTGGTGTCCTGATTATAACGAGTTATGATTAAATATTCATATTGATAATTCATGAATGGTGGTCATGTCCGCAACAAATGAAATGCACTAAAAACTCCAGATTATTACTCAGAGAAAATTCTCTCTCACACCAGAGGTGGGTCATATTTAATAAAAACCCAACAGCAGCCCTAAATACTGACCTACTGCAACTGACACACTGAGATTCAACCAAATTCAGGACTGAAACTGTCGAATCCCACTGGACACAAAGTTCGTGATGCACCAACCTGCGTCTGACCTGGGCCGATGTAGAACTTGTGCAGGATGTTGATGAGGAAGTCCTGGACCTCGTACCAGGGGTAGATGGAGTTAGAGCCGTCCAGAACAATCACGATGTCCGTGAACATCTCACACCCTGTAAGATCCAAGAAAGAAGAAGGTGGACACAGGAGGTGTGGATGATGGATGTATAGATAGATTCCGGTCATGAATCAGGGCAGCCTGTGTGGGGATCCTGGTAGATCTGAGACAGAAACCCTGTAAGGCTGCTTTTGCTTCTGACTGATTTGGCTCAGCCTTTGGCCATTTTCGGGCCGGTGTCTTGGCACAGAGGCTGTTGTCATAGTTTAACATGGATTATAGTGTGGTTTGCTGCTTAATTGATTTTATTTTTCAGAGTCTCCTCGGGGTCCTCTCTGTGCTTTTATTTGTCTTGGACACAAATGAGTGCCAGAGCTACCACAAGGACAGAGACATTCTGAGTCTTCCTCTGCATAATGAGGAGCAGAGCCTTGACCAGTGGTAGCACAGTTCATCAGCTAGTCTGAACATCTTTCTTACACCTGAATGTGTCCAAGACTAAAGAGATGTCTGTCTGCAGCCAAACAGTCCCCATGGGGACATTACATCTTTATTCTGATAGAAAGATGGTGGGCAGATGGGTGGTCGGATGGATTACTTTGCAGGGCAGGAGCAATGATGTGGGATGGTCTGAAGGATCGGCTAATCCTGTAGCAGATTCCTGTGCTGTACAGGGAGCTTCCACATTCATGAGACCAGAGTGGGCCACAGGTCTGAGGACATAGACAACAGCAAAGACAAAAAATGTAGAAAATGACGTGAAGATCACTCTAAAACTATTCCAACTACAAGTCCTACATTCAAACTTGATCTTAAGATAAATAAAACTACAAACATAATTTTAGCAAAAATATACTTAAAGTATCAAAAGTAAAGTACTTCTCATTAGTGTGTGTTGTATTACTGTTCGATATTATTGACACATTAACATATTCCATAGATGTACCTTATACCTCACACTGCCGAGTGTAGTTTAATCTGGACTACTGCATCAGATTTGATAAGATGAAGATAAGAAGGCTCCGGGTTGGAGGCCAGCGACCGACCAGGGCCTCCCTGTGTGTTCTCCCTCCCGCAGTCCACAGACCTGCAGGTTGAGTGACTAGGTAGGGATGCGGGAGGAAGAACATTCAGCATGTGCATGTTGAGTGAATCTGCTGTGATGAGCTAAACACTTTCTGTGACGCTGTTGTTTATTGGATGGAAAGAGACACTATGACAGTCTCTCACAGTTTGTAGTGAAAAGCAGAAGGAGCTCTGAAGGTTTAGATGAGCTGAGCAGATGTGAAGGCGGTATCTGTGTGGGACTCACCACAAAGCTGCTGTCTTTGGGGCTGGAGGTCAGCGTCATCCCCAGCCTCATGTTGTCTTTCACCTCAAACTCGGTCCCCATAGACAGATTCCCTAGTCACAGTTGAGACACAGCTCATTTAATCCCAGCGTGCAGTCACAGTGTCACTTCATCTGCTCGTTACTCTATCAATTAATCCCTGTATTGAAGTCAAACTCTGATTTATGCCACATTTCAAAGAATAAATGTCTGGATTTGATCAGCAGCTGCAGAAAACATCAATAATAAAAATGGGCTTTTGATCAAATGTTTCAGATTTGAACACTGGCACTGCTGGTGCCAGTGTCCGGTGCTGGTCACAGACTGAACCACCTGACATGTGCTTTGTCTCCCGTGGTGCTCACCCAGGTTGAGTCGGCTGCAGTTCGCAGGGCCTCTGCCATCCAGCGGACATCTGTACACATCACCAGTCCGCTGTGTCCCTGTGGATTCGAAGGGAGCTCCAACCAGCAACCTGGAATCACACACAGCCAAGGGGTGTCCTTCTGAGACACATGGAGGGAAACAGCTGGGCTCCAGGTAAAACACCCAGTTGGGAAACAATGAGGAACTGGACTTTTATTCTCTTAGGCTGAGACTCAGTACAACTTTTTTGAAGGTGATAATGTTCAGCCTGTGCCACAGAGGCGCCGGTCCACCTGTGGGGTCAATGTGGGAGCTGCTGTTCTTCACCTGCACTGTGTTATACCCAAAGTGTTTCTGGTGTTTACTTCACCACATCTACATCAGTGAGGCTAGGCTAAGCACCAGTTTGTAACTCAGTACGATTTATTGCAGGACTGTTGCATTAGACTGATTTAGTTTGAGCTGCGTGTTCCTAATAACCTGACTGGTGAGTGTTTATTGTGATGCCTGTGTAGGTGTGGTTACCACACCCAGCAGCTGATGAGCTCATGAACAACACCTCTCTCCTGATTGGCCGCTGCTCGGAGTCTGACTGCCTGTTTACGTCTCTAGAAGAAGCAGGTCTGTAAGTTGTGTTCCTCCAGGTCCTTTGACCTCTGACCACAGCTTTTTACACAGTGACAAAAAGCTTGATGCCTCACATACAGGTGCTGGTCATATAATTAGAATATCATCAAAAAGTTGATTTATTTCATTAATTCCATTCAAAAAGTGAAACTTGTATATTATATTCATTCATTACACACAGACTGATATATTTCAAATGTTTATTTCTTTTAATTGTGATGATTATAACTGACAACTAATGAAAACCCCAAATTCGGTATCTCAGAAAATTAGAATATTACTGAATACCAATACAAAGAAAGGATTTTTAGAAATCTTGGCCAACTGAAAAGTATGAACATGAAAAGTATGAGCATGTACAGCACTCAATACTTAGTTGGGGCTCCTTTTGCCTGAATTACTGCAGCAATGCGGCGTGGCATGGAGTCGATCAGTCTGTGGCACTGCTCAGGTGTTACGAGAGCCCAGGTTGCTCTGATAGTGGCCTTCAGCTCTTCTGCATTGTTGGGTCTGGCATATCGCATCTTCCTCTTCACAATACCCCATAGATTTTCTATGGGGTTAAGGTCAGGCGAGTTTGCTGGCCACTTAAGAACAGGGATACCATGGTCCTTAAACCAGGTACTGGTAGGTTTGGCACTGTGTGCAGGTGCCAAGTCCTGTTGGAAAATGAAATCTGCATCTCCATAAAGTTGGTCAGCAGCAGGAAGCATGAAGTGCTCTAAAACTTCCTGGTATACGGCTGCATTGACCTTGGACCTCAGAAAACACAGTGGCCCAACACCAGCAGATGACATGGCACCCCAAACCATCACTGACTGTGGAAACTTTACACTGGACCTCAAGCAACGTGGATTCTGTGCCTCTCCTCTCTTCCTCCAGACTCTGGGACCCTGATTTCCAAAGGTAATGCAAAATTTACTTTCATCAGAGAACATGACTTTGGACCACTCAGCAGCAGTCCAGTCCTTTTTGTCTTTAGCCCAGGTGAGACGCTTCTGACGCTGTCTGTTGTTCAAGAGTGGCTTGACACAAGGAATGCGACAGCTGAAACCCATGTCTTTCATACGTCTGTGCGTAGTGGTTCTTGAAGCACTGACTCCAGCTGCAGTCCACTCTTTGTGAATCTCCCCCACATTTTTGAATCGGTTTTGTTTCACAATCCTCTCCAGGGTGCGGTTATCCCTTTTGCTTGTACACTTTTTTCTACCACATCTTTTCCTTCCCTTCGCCTCTCTATTAATGTGCTTGGACACAGAGCTCTGTGAACAGCCAGCCTCTTCTGCAATGACCTTTTGTGTCTTGCCCTCCTTGTGCAAGGTGTCAATGGTGGTCTTTTGGACAACTGTCAGGTCAGCAGTCTTCCCCATGATTGTGTAGCCTACAGAACTAGACTGAGACACCATTTAAAGGCCTTTGCAGGTGTTTTGAGTCAAATAGCTGATTAGAGTGTGGCACCAGGTGTCTTCAATATTGAACCTTTTCACAATATTCTAATTTTCTGAGATACCGAATTTGGGGTTTTCATTGGTTGTCAGTTATAATCATCAAAATTAAAAGAAATAAACATTTGAAATATATCAGTCTGTGTGTAATGAATGGATATAATATACAAGTTTCACTTTTTGAATGGAATTAATGAAATAAATCAACTTTTTGATGATATTCTAATTATATGACCAGCACCTGTACATGACATGACACAGGCAGGTTTTCCTCTGTTAACGGACTGTTTACTGCCGCTACAATGTCTTGATAGCAACTTTTGAGAATCTTAGATTCAAGTGCACAAACCTTTTCTCCTGGCTCATCAAGTCACGGTTAAAATGAGGAGTAGAAGTGATAAATACTGATGCTTTGGCGTCTGTATGTGACACCACAGGTTGTTTACTGGCCTCTGCTGTAAACTCACTTATTATTTAACTTTAGTGTAAACCTGCCTGTGGTGACCTGGTACACAGAGCAACAAAGAGCCATGCTATGACCTTTTACTAAACCTAACCTGCAGTTTTCGGGCATAAAGCAAGTAGAGTGCCTCTGGTGTGTGTATGAAACACCAGAGATTCAGTGATATCTGGATGTGAGATTTTCTTTGGTCATTTTCAAGTGGAATTCAAACATTGCCACTGCCACATCTGACAAACCAGAGCCAAGCAACACTTTCATGTCATGTTTAGCGAAGATTGATTATTTAGTTTCAGAAGGATTTAGATTTTTGACCAGTGTCAGTTAACCCTCCTGTGCTACACTCAGGGACGTTAAACACAGAGCCTGCTGCTGTGTCACACAGCGGGCAGGTTATTAGTCTTAACCGGAGTAAACACATGTGGCCTGAGTTACATTCCAGAGGAGATGCCGTAGTAGAGCAGCAATCCCTGTCTGCTAATGTGTCTCCCATCCTCATCTGACAAACCACATCCCACAATATCCCACAGAAGCACATGCTTCTCAAATGATAAGGCTGGCCGTTTTCTTTAATAACAGTAGATTCAACACTCTGTACAAAGACTAAAACTGATTTGCTTCTACTCACTGTTAATGTCAGCCAGTCCTGGATTAGCTTACTAGTCTGTGCCATAGAGCTCTATTGTTCTAAAATAATTAAACAGATGTGTGGGAAGGACACCACTGCACTGGGTGAGATGTTTCTTCATTCCAAAAAACAAGACCCTGATATTTGTCAAGAATATCCAGAGATCTTTTCCTACTTCAGATGCTGTGGAGCCTTTGGGGCAACATAAAAAAAAAAAATCAGGGTCTGATGTTTTATAATGAGGAAACATGTCACTCAGTGTAGCAGTGTGCTTTCCTGATGTGCTTTTAATTGTTTTTGAACACCAGTGCAGCTCTGTGGCATAGACAAATAAGCTGATCCAGGATTGACAGACATTAACAGTGAGCCGAGGCAAATCCCTGTTGGTTTTAGTCTTCGTATGGGGACTGTTGAAGATACTGTGAGTACAGAAAAGGAACAGCCCTATGCTTTAATTCCTCTCTAAAAAGGACAACACACTTTTGTTTGTTTCGTGCTCCTGTTGGTGTGGATGCTGACCTCTGTGTTCCTCTCTGATGGAGAGCCATGCATGCGGTGTGGTTGCAGGGGCTGCCATGTTGTCTCAGTACACACACAAAGACTGACCACACACTGTCCTTCACACACACAGGGCAGCCTGCAGGTCACACTAACAGTCTGCTGACCTCAGATTGAACTGTAGGTCAAAAAGTTTGATCTCCAGCAGAGCCAGAACACCACCCTCAGCTGTAACAGGTCAACAGGGAGACCCACCTTCTTCTTAGCCTTTCTGAAGCTGTAATCACTGAGATATCATTACCTCATAAAGTTGACATATGAGGACCTTTAATGACTAATGCAAAAAGCCCGACCCAAACCTTTACCTCTTTATAAACCTAACTCACTGTCCAAACTCCTTCAGAGCTGCGGTAATCAATAGTTTTATCCTAGTAGTGGTTTGAATGACTGGATGTGATGTGAGAATTATTACCTGACAGTGGCCTCAGCTAAATTCAGCAGAAGCCAAGGACTGTTCCATGGCACAGTATCTGTCTGGATAACAACGCCAGCCCAACACCTGAGAGGGAAACGTCACCGGGCTGCATAGAAAAATAAAATTCCCCTTTAAAACAACACACACAGCGGTGTAATGGACTTTCCAGACGGAGGCCTGTGGGGTACAGTTCCCAGATGCAGCACTCTGCATCAGGATGCTAGAGAAGCCGCTCACAAGACAAACAAAATACTTTCCACTACTTGAGCTGAGACTTCAAAGACAGAGTGGTTTTGCAATCGTTGAAGACTGTGAGGAATTTGCCACGGCTGAAAGGCTTCCAGGTGAAATGAAACCGACACACACAGAGGTGGGAATGTTGCACAGTGTGACCTGCATCTGCAGACAGACACCAGGAGTGAGCCAGGGCACAAGGCAGGAGTTTGTCCGAGACAGGAAGTGAGTGCTGAGGAGCTTTTCATTGTCTCCTGTGTCTGCAGACTTTCTCCAGCCCCATCTGTGTACAGGCCACACCGGGCCAGTGTGTCTGACAAACTGAAGCTTTACATTGATGCCACGTGGCTCTCGAAGGCATCATGACGCAGCGCTCTGAAGTAACTGAGTCCCATTAGGACAGCTCATCGTGTCTGTTCCAGTGACTTTCTTCATTCTCAGACTGTCTGTCCAACTTGAACGTGTGCTATTGTAGTAGCGAGGTCACCTGTTTCCTCGATGTTTTACTTGATTTCTAGTTTCACCTAATGTTATCTCCTGCAGTGTCCCACTTTGCTCCATCTAATCTGTGCACACCTTTCCTTTCCTTTCCACCTCATCCTGTTTTTATCTCCTTCCATTTTCTGGTTTTGTCTCATATCATCTCACATTTCCTCCCATTTAACCTTTTTGTATTTCATCATGGCCCTGTGATGGCCCGACGACCTGTCCAGGGTGTGCCCCGCCTTTCGCCTGATGCCGGCTGGGATTGGCTCCAGCCCCCCTGTGACCCCGTTCGAGACTAAGTGGTATAGAAAATGAGTGAGATGAGATACTCATCTCATCTCTTCATCTTTGTTTCATCACTCATTTCATCTCACCTAACAAACCTTGTCTTCTTATCTCATGTCACTATTTTGTCTATGCCCAGCTCACTTCATCTTATCGTACCTCTCCACATCTCAGCTCACGGCAGCAGAAAGCTGCAGGTTTAAATGTGTCCGCTGGTATCTGAGAGTCCAGCAGCATATTGGAAACATGAAGGACCGGAAGAACATTCACAGTCAACTGGTGACATGCCAAGGACAAACTGTACAGGAACGTGTGTGTCTGAGCATCTGAGGTCACGGGATCTACATGATGACATCCTAATTTATAGCTGAAGACCAGAAATACTGCCCTGTTGCTTCATAGATATGTTCCACTGATCAGACTCATTGCAGGAAGATGTGTCCTTCCAACATGATCCTGACAACTCACTGTGATTCACGGACACACAGCACAGGAAGGACAGAAACCAGCTTTCCTGGAAACCTCTGGATTCCCTGAGCCTGTGAGCGACTGCAGCATCCAATAAATCTTTAGTCTCTACCCACATTTTCATTTTTAAGCAGACAAACATTATTTATTAGGTCTTTACCTAAAGGTACTTGGATACTGCACACTGACTGAGGCTGCCTGCTACTGTCAGAGTTTAAACTGAGTGGATCCCACTGATGTTTTGCTGTTTAAGATCGACCGCCTTATTCAGATTGAATTTATTCTAAACATGACTCAGAATGACCTCACACACTGGTCACATCTCTGCTTGGAATCAGAGTGTGGTGGGTGATCAGTGAGCTGGGATTCTCACCACTGGCGTCCTCCTGCCTCATGTTGCTGGACTGTGTATCCAAACTGGGTTTCTTTAGAACCAGAGAAGATCTTGAAGTTCTTGGTGTCAAAGTTGAAGCAGAGCTGCAGATCTGAAACACAGAAGGAGTCAGTCATTTCCACAGGGACACACTGATGGATGTCACGCTCTTTGTGGAGAAAATAGTCTCTCTGGATCCACTCTAGAAACCCAGACCTCCCCAACATAACCAGCCAAGTCGAATCATAATTACAGGCAACACTTGTTTGGTGTGTTTTGCTTTGTGTAGACATGTGACCACTGGACCACTGGTGTGAGTTTGACGGCAGAACTAAAATCACATCCAGCAGAGAAACTGTCACTGTTTCTTGCTATCATGCTCTTATTTTGTTGTGCATTTCCTGTGTACTCTACTTAGATCCAGCCCTGCCTTCCCTTGCCTGGTTTGTTTTTGTGAGAAGACTTTGTTCGTTCATGTTATTTTGAAGGACGACGCTACCTCTCGACCCGTACTTGCTGTGTTGCATCTTGCTCCGTGTTCTACATGAAATCAAACAAGAAAGCTGTTTGAAACAGAAGTGTCACAGGAAACAGATCAGAAACCAGACGCAGCTGCCACACAGACTGGGATCACTTCCACCACTATCCGCCGCACATGAGACCACAGTGGTAAAGGTCTGTCTCTTCTTTGTGGCTCTGAAATGGAGGAAAGTCTCTAAGTGAAGGAGGTGTTAAGAAGTAAGGCTGAAGGAAAATGGCTTCCATAAAGAAAATTATGCTTCAGCATTAACAGCTCTGCTGGACTGAGATGAGCAGCTCTGGCCTGGAGGAGAAGGAGATTGTGTTTCTGCTTCACTTTCCCACAGAAAAGAAGGAATGAAAGTAATAAATCAGACACAGGTGTTCTGGTTGTGTGTCTTTCAGCACAGGTTTGTGGAGGGACAATATACCAAGAGCGCCTTCCAACAGAAAGGAATCCAAAACAACTTTCCTCTCCACCGCTGAATAACATTAGCTGGGGTATATTTGATACATTGGTGCCAACTGCACTTATGAGCAATTAAAAGCAGCTTATCAAGAGGTTTATAATGTGTTAAGGGAAGCAGCACTTCTCTGGAGGGCAGGCCTGACAGGAAGAGACGGGGGTCTTTGTTGATTGCAAATATCCCACCAAGTTTCTTGGTAATATGTGTCCAGACCCTGGACATAAATGTCCTGAAAACAGTGAAAATGTGTTTCCATAATCGACTAACCCATGAAGGGGAGAAGGAACAGCCTATTCAGTGTAAGATAACAGGGCTGATATGCAACATAAAAGTAGACTGAATCAGATCTATAGCTTCTTTCCAGTCACTTCCACTGTCAATGCACAGGTCATTTTCCTACATACTGTTCTGTTAAACTATGACACTTTGGAGCTTCGACATGAAGCAGACACAGACCTTTTGTGTCTGAGTCAGTTGCTGTCCCTTCGCATCTGCAGCTTCAGGCTGCTTTGACTAATATGATTTCCTTTGTGCTTCACACCATGACATTAACTCCAAGGAAGTCTGTAGACACATGGAGGCATTCAAATGTTGACAGAGGACTGAACCCCGCCACTTCATCTCATACTCCTGCACCTCCTCCTCCTCCAGTTTCAGTTAAGCTGTTGATCAGCAGGAGCTGACAGGAGGAGGGAGGGAGGACTGGACGGTCTTCAAACGCTGTCGAACCTGACAGAAACCGCCTGCATAAAGGATGGCGACACTGACATCACTGCTCTATTCAGTTGAATTTTCCACGACAGGAAACAGTGAGCTACCGGGAAAAACGAGCACAGAGATGATTTCATCTTTTCAGCAGAAGCCAGACAGGGGGAATTCAACCTGTAGCAAATGCACCCGGACAGAAATGTAGAAAACTCCAATGCATTCTTCCTCTATCACATCATTGCAATGACCTTACTGGTTTGGTGGAGAAATAAAAATCAGCTATGATAGAAGAAGACTTATCATTTTTCCTTCCTTACAGAACAGAAGAGCTTTGTACATAAACACTGAGAGCACTGCTTCATTAATGCTCCATAATGACCATGATCATGTCAAATCGCATGATCTTTATTAGTAAATATGGTGTTAAAATTTAGCTCTATACATTTGAACATATGTAGTTTCATGACATCTGGGCAGACTCCATTAGGTGAAAAGGATTATGGGATATGATGGATAGGAAATTTTTTTCGCCTTGTTTGAGCTTCAAACGAGCACTTGGAGGTTTAGTCTTGGGAAGACTGATAGAAGTCTGCCCCTGCTGTCCTACAAGCAGGTCTCAACAGCTGCATGTTGCATAGTAGTAGTTACTTTGTGCAGTCATGTTGCTTTTAATTGGCATTTTAATGTTTTATTTGTTTGTGTGCATTCTGTGAAGCACTTTGATTTGCCTTTGTGTACATGTCCTACGTAAAAGAACTGGCCTTGCTGTGCATTCGGTTACATAAAATCCAGTAGATTAGATTTGCTGCAGGGAACAATAGGGAGATTTGAAACATGGAGACTGAAGTAGTCTGCCCAGTTGTCATGAAGATATTCAAATGTCTCTTTTGTTGAGGATTTCATTTGCAATTTAAGGTCATGCAATATGACTGAAAGCTCCAGAACTGCTGCTAAACAGACCTTGTGATGAGATGTCGTTTCTTTCATCCTCTGCAGCCCCGTGACCTTGGTCGTGTAATGCAAGCTCATATTTCACCTGAGCTCTTCTCATCTCATTTACTCTCGTAGTCTCGTCTCACCGTGTCCGTCAGATGTTATTGCCTGGTCATCTCTTCTGAACTTATCTCAGCCTTTTCAACATGTCTGATTTTGTCTAATCTCATCTCATTTCACCTCAGCTCATTTAGTCTCATCTCATTTAGCCGATCTCATCAGAACAGCTTTTCATCTTTTCAAAAGCACACGTGTCCTTTTTGACTAGATCTACTTTTATCAGCTCATCTCTTTTCATGTGAAGTTGGTCTTGACATGTTTTGTTTCATCACATCTTTTTGGATGCTGTGTATTTTTATCTAACGTATTGCTAATGTGACCTACTTGTCTCATCTCATTTCATTTTTATCTCATGCCAACTTTAATTTCAGCTCATCTTATTTTAATTTGTTCTGTTGTCATCCTCTGTTGTCTTGTTCCATGTGATTTAATCTCATGTCATCTTTCTCTGCTCTGATCTTTGCATATTTCATCTGATTTTAGTAGCAGCAGGACACCCACAGATTTTTCTGATCACTGTAACTTGAAGTGTTTCTGCTTTAGTGTCCCTGAGCGTTTCCTACCAGAGAGAGACCTTTGACCCCTCCCTGTATTTCTCGAGCACTTGGAAAAGTCAGTAGCTGTGTGGGTCTGTTTGCCACTGAAGGCAGCAGTGATGGACTTGGCTACTGAGGATAAAAATAAAAGAGTCAACCAAAATGTCTCTGTCTTTTAGGAGTGTTTTCTTCCTCGTGGCTCTGCTCCCGTCTGGGCCGAGCCAAGGACCAGCTCAGTGTATCAGAGCTGTTGGCGACAGACAGAAAGAGACTTGGCAGATTAAAGATGCAGGATTCAGCTCCAAGTGTGAGTCTCCTGGCGCTGCTGGGATGGTGAGTGTGAGGTGGATGATCCCTGGCACTGTGACACATTTCTATCATTCTTTACACATTCCAGCAGACGTTGTCACTTTTTCTGTGTCTGTTCATACTTAGGTGTTTTTTCCAGATGTGTCTTAGCTGCTCTCATAAGTGAAAACAGAGTAAAATCCAGCTGCTGCTACTGCAGCTACAGACAATATTTTTGTTAGAAGAGAAACAACATTTATGTTGTTTTTGCAGAATCTCCAGTTTTGAAATGAGGTGCAGCAGTGGGAAACACATCTAATCAGGTCAAAGATGGGACTAATTTAGTGAGCAGAGCTCTAGTCCAGCAGCTTACAGCCAAACGCTGTCCGCGTGAGTTTCCTCCAGCCGGCAGGCAGACGCTCCACTGGCTCAGCATCACTGCAGCCTGAGGCTCATGCAGCCACGTTAGCCAGCACAGACCAGAGGTCACAGCCCTACTCTACCCAGCTGCATTAGAAACCAGGACACTTAAGACGATCCAGCTAATCAATCAGGTTTCAAGAATAATTTTTCATGTGCATAGAATAATTTTTTTAAGTCCTTCACGGGAACCTTAACTTCAGCATTCATGTGATCAGCCAGGCAGCACTTACATTAATAGACTCTGCATGCACAGAGTATCAATGTTGTAGCAGTCTGTGATATGACCACAAGATGACACAAGGACTGTGTTGATCATCAGCTGTCAACTGCTGTGTGTTACACCCAGTGTCGGCTGAAAAATTATTTTCTTTACCTATATCAAAGATTTTATGCCTCAGTTTGCCCGACTGCCCCGTCCTGTTTTGTCATTACAGACAAAATAAAACCTCTGTGCATGTCTGTAGTTACTACTGAGGAGTACAAAGCCCGTAGCAGGACCTGGCCCAGGAATGTTTTCATTATGGCTTGTTTTATAACAGTGGAGTGCCACATGGGAGGGGTTTAATACCAGACAGAGTACACAGGTCCTACCAGCATCACACCAAACTCAATTTAGGGGCCAGTGGGACCGTGATGCTCCAGCTTTAATGTATAGAAACACAGCTCAGTCAGAGTGAAACAGAAAAATCACCTCACTTCTTCCTCAGTGGGACCGTGATGCTCCAGCTTTAATGTATAGAAACACAGCTCAGTCAGAGTGAAACAGAAAAATCACCTCTCACTTCCTCCACTGGGACCAAAGGGTCTAGTTTGTAGATTTACAGTTGTGCCCTGCCTGCTGCAGGGCGTGAGGATGGAGTTGTTCATCTGCTCCTCTGGCACTTCAGTACCATGATATCATGATCCACATGAGGTTCAGTAAAGACAACAAAGGTTGTACAAGGATGAACTCTAAGGAGTACAAGGATGCACCATCAGCCCAGACTCCCCTGTGCAAAGTGGAAGACCTTATTCACACAGTTTGTAGCCAATATCATCAGAATTTCTATGAAACATTCAAAGTCCCCAGAGGTTGATTCTTTACATTTGTGGTGACACTAACTTTTCCTCTAGCGCCACCATCAGACTGAAATGTACACTTGTATCAGGAAGGGCTCCACATGCCGTCAACAAAGTGAAACACCGTCCCCCCACACCTCTCTGATGTTTGATGATCCACAGTACTCTGATCTTTAACACTGAGTCATCACAATGAAGTGGAAAAGCCACAGAACTGTTCTGATTGCTCCACTGCAAATGGCTGCTGAGCTGCTTACACCTGCTACTGTATGTGCTGAAGCAAGCCCACCAGTAAATCATCCAGGCTGATATCCTGATCGATATTAGCTCATTGCAGATATGTCAACTGATAAATGACAAGAAACTGAAGCAGTGTGAACCATGGCTTACCAAGGGTAATTTCACATGGAAAATCTTCTGCCAAGCACTGGTGGAAAGTAACTAAGTCCATTTACCCAGGTACTCTACTTCTGTCCAGTTCTCTTGAGGTCCATTTTATGACACTTTATACTTAGAGGAGATTATTGTACTTTTTCCTGAGCCCCATTTATGTGACCAGCAGCTTGGCATTAACTCCATGGGAGGCGGACCCAAACCCAAGCCTGAGTCATTCCAACCTTAACCAAAAACCATGAACCTTACAGTGAACGTTTAACTATGTGAGGACCAGAGGCCCACTGTGACCACAGTGTGATTAATACAAGCACATGGTCCACGTCCTGTAGGTGGAACCATCCCGGCAACAACCAGATGGTGTTTTTAAACCAAAGATGGACACATTCAAAGAGAAACAGGTTCACAATGAATGTGTATATTGTTGTTTATTGCTGTTTATTAATCAGGTAAAATACCATCACCTTAAATCTCCATAAAACAGATGTTTAGGTCCAGATGTGGTCTGTCAGACACACAGCTGGTTCTGCCACCATCAACTCTTTACACTGTGATCAATATGCCAACAGCTGGTTTCTAATAAAAAATTCAAATCAAGAGGCTCAAAGAGTTTGTCACCAGCGTGTCAGGTATGAGCACACAGCTCCTCTCTCTCTCTGATGTGTGGTGTGATGCTCGCTCGCTCACCTGGCAGGAGGCTGCAGGTCGACAGCAGCAGCAGGACTAGCTGGTGGGAGTAATCCATGAAGGCACAGTGACACAGATCGAGTGTGAAGTGTGAGTGGGTGTTGTTGTTGGAGGGCTGGTTCTTAACTCTGCTCCTCTGAGGAGGAGGAGGAGCCTCATGTGTCTGCTCTAGCACGCACACACACACACACACACGCTGTTTTCATTCCTTGTGGGGACTTTACATTGACTTGCATTCATTTACTTCTTTATCCTAACATTAACCATAACCACTACTTGCCTAACCCTGACCCTGACCCTAACTTTCAACCATGTTGCCACCCTAAAACTCAGTGATTCAGTGGCTGAGTCTCTACAATGTGAGTGTATTAACAGGTTTCAGTCCCCATAATGTAAGTAATACAAAGGCTCTGGCTTTTAAAGAGCCTCTAACTTCACCTGCAGTTTTCCAAACAGGAACTTTGACGTCTCTGCTGGTGCACCAACAGGAAATGCCTCCATTGGTGTCTGAGATCACACACACAGCGCTGAAGACCAGATGTGAACATCTGTCCAGTAATCCAGGATAAAAGGTTGCAGAGGAGCACTGAGAATCACGGGTAACACAATCCTGCCTACATGAACCAGCTAAAATGAAGTATAACGGTAAATAGTGTACAAGACAGTGCAGTGCATGCAGATGCATGTAAAGTGTTAGTTAGTGTTTATTTGTACATTTTTTAGCTCCTGTAAAACTTTGATGAACCATTTATGACTGAGAGTTTGTCCTCACTCTGAGCTCTCCTTCACACAGTTCTCCTCAGTGTTACTGAACATAGGAACACAACGCTCCTGCATAAAACACATCATACAGGTTTATGTGCTGAGCACCAGTTTCAGTTATTTACTCTTTTTTCTGTCGTGTCCTTCGATTTTAGAGTCGATCTCTTAGTTTTGTCCTTGTGTTGCATTTTGTCAGCTCACTATAAATATGAAATGTTAATCTGACTGAAACATGCTAAAACAACGTACAGGCCTGTTTGACCAAGCAACCAGTATGACAACAGAGAAAATCTGGGCTGCCTGAGACCTGCTGTAATGTCAGCTACAGGCCAGGACTGTTACTGTGTGCAGTGTCCCATAGATTATAGACGGCTGTCACTGGATCACCGTGAGGCTGAAGGGACTTTAGAAGCAGGAGGTTCTGCAGGCTCCTCTTCTCTGATGCCTGATCATACAGCCTCAGTCATTAACATCCAGTAGTACTGTATAAATGATTGTCTAATGGGCCATTCTATAGAATCACTACTGTTACTGATAAAACTTCAACTAGATTTTGATGCTAATACTTCTGTACTTTTACTTAAGTAACATTTTGAATGCAGGACTTAGAACAGAGTATTGCTACACTGTGGTATTACTACCTTTACTGTAGTAAAAGATCTGAGTACATCTTCCACTGCTGAGTTTGGAGCTGGGCCAGGTTACAGTCCCCAGATGACTGTGTCCCAGCGTGAGGACACTTCAGGACTGACTGTCCACACTAAAGGGCTTTTCCACTGGCAACACTGAGCCTTTGTTTCTGTGGAAAATGGATATGTTGGGGTTTACATATTGGAGTCTGAGCTGACACATGACTGGTTTCATTCGATCACACTCCTGGCCTTGTGTTCTTCCTCTCCTGTTTGACCCAGCTCTTCATCTCTGTTCTGTTTACTAGTTCCTGCCCTGCCCCTCTTCGTCCACTCGCACACGTCCAGATCTAACCCCTCTCCCCCAGTGTCAGCTGCTCGTGCTGTTCTGGCCTGTGTGCCTCAGTCTGGACTGTGGCTCTGCACGTTTCCTTGGCCTCTGTGTCTAATGAGATTCTGATGATAGAAACCAAATGAGCTGAAGGATGAAGCTCTGCTCATTTCTAAGCACAGCAGCACTCCAAGTCTTTTCTGATCTGGTAAGACCAGGAATCTGCTCTGTCTGTCTCAGCTGGTTGCAGAACGAAGGCGGGGGCTCACTGCCACCTGCTGGATGATGTGACACTCGCACACTAATGTCTTCTTGATCTTCACTATTTAGATATAGATTTGCTCTTTGCTCTCTCTAAAATAAATTCAAAATAACACGGAGGTTAGAAAATTAGCTGCCGACATGATAACTGCATGGTCCGACACAGAGATGTTTGAGAAACAGCATGTGAAGCTCATTTTCTCAGGATGATGTGTCTGAGATGAAAAGAAAACACCTTGGTTATTCGGAGTCACATGACAGTGGTCACAGTCCAGGAGATTTCAGTACATGTAAAAAAAAAAAAAAAAAAAAAGCATAAATCACAACAACACAATAATCACAATCGTTCCAAAATCCACAAACAAACACATTTACTTTGTGTCAAGCAATATTCATGGTAAACAGCGGTAATGTTCACTACACAGCAGCGGAAAGGTCTGGTTGTTACCACAGTAATAAAGGTTTCTACTTGCAGCTGTGGCCAGGACATATCCAGTCAGCTGGACTCAGCTCCTCACGACGATGACAACAGAGTTGGTTGTGTGAGGCTTGGATGGACAGACGGCAGTGATGTGCAGTGTGGAGTCAAGGTGTGATGCTCTGCCATTGTGTGAGAGGTTAAGTGTCGTCCTCTATGTGTACTGGAGTTTGGTGACACATTTGAAAACAACAGTAACAATGAGCTGGTGCTTGATAATAATAAAGTCTGTTGTTCAGATGCACTGTGTTTCTGACCGTCACACAACCAACTCTTTCATCACACCATCGTCGTGAGGCGTCAGATGACGGGGCTGCTTGCAGGTTGTATGGGCTGCTCTCTCATATCCCCATCCATCCCACAAGACATGAACACAGCTTTAGACTCAGCAACAGACTGATGTATGTTATCAGAAAAAAATGACTGTTGGGGAGCGTTGGTGGCCACAGCAGCTGTTTGTCTGTGCTTCAGGTTTCTCTGTCAGTCCTGTCGGTGTTACTGTAGCTCGGAGACCGCTCGCTGTCCTCCACAGCTGCAAACTTCACCTTCCTGTGTGACCTCTGCAGACACAGACACACAGCACCGATCACACAGGGTCCATCCTGAGACGACAAGCAGCTCAGTGAGCATCAGTCACACAGGAATCAGGCTTGTTCCTCACAGGCCTTCACTGAATTTTAATTCATTTACTCGGCCCACCTCTTGTCTGTCACCTTGTCTTTAATAGGTGGTTCTCGCTGCTTTGTGACACTGTGCTGCGTTATGTTGTGAAGGAGACTGAACAGGAGCTGAATCAGTTCTCACAGCTGGAGACTTAATGTTCCAATGTTAAGTGGCTTAAGAAGTGGGGACAGGATCCTGTACAGGCAGACCAGGGACACACTGACAAGGGAGATCAGAGCAGCGACTCTGGAAAGCTGAGAAACCAGGTTTCAGCCAACGACCCTTTGTCTGAGAAGCAGCACTCCCCCTCACCCACCTCAGCTCAGTCCCAGCAGCTGCTCCCCCCATGACTGCCTCCCTTCCCTGTAGCCCCCTGCATCTGAAGAGCTGTGAAAATGATGTGTGCAGCCTTTTAAAAAACAAAGGATCAGAAAGGCGCCAGGTCCAGATGGCGTGACCCCCTCCTGCTTGAAAGTGTGCACTGATCAGCTGGCCCCCATCTTCACACTCACCTTCAACAGGTCACTGGACATGTTCAGAGTTCAGAGTTGACTGTAAATCATAATACTGTCACATACTTCCCACTCTGGACGCACCTGCTTTTCTGCAAGCCCACGAGGGTATCGGGAAATGTTGTCCCTCCAGCGCTCTGCCCTCTGCCAGTCCTCTAACCACAACTGGCGGCGGTACTCAGACTGGCGAGACGTGATTCGCTGGTAGATGCCCTGATTCTGGCGACTGACCAATAGAAGCTCCTCCCTCCTCTTGTCAGCATTCAGACTGAGGAGGGAACGTGAGAGGAGGCAGATAATGGATGGACATATGTGTATAAAGCATTTTGATGGTAAACCTGACAATTAGCTTCTGTTTATTGTTTTAAATATCAGTAATTACACAGAAATCCTATGATACAAAGTAAGCCTGTGATACAATGAAAGTCCATAAAGGTTGTAACCACCAAACGCTGTTTTTATGGGATCAGCTCAAATGACACAATAAGAAGGGGGTGAAGAGATTGTGACACAGGTAAGTGCACCTAACCCTAACACCTAACCCTCTGTGGTACTTTATAACAGGTTTCTGTTGTTTTGCTTCTCATGCACATACTCATGTCTCATCAACCCCTGCTGTTTTCAGATGAAAACCTCTAAAAAGCCACTGTCCTCTGCTGTACTCCAACTGTTACTTCACCTTTGTTTCGACAAAAGACAAACTAGTTGCAGACAGAGAAACGTGTAAAATCACATCTGTGAATATCATAGCCCTCTGTGCAGTGTTTTTGGCATCTGATAAACAGCTAAACTCAAGGATCTGTTGCTGAAACTGGACTTCCTGGGTGGGATTTCATGTGTGGTGGCTGACTGTAAGCAGGCTGACCCAGATAAGAGTATAATTAAAACATCATCTGAGGTGACACCTTTGTATTAATCAGGAGTGACCGTATAGAGTTGCAGAATAAAAAGCCGAACCTCAGCTGATTTCAGAGAAACTTCACAGCTCTTCTATAGACTGAGGGCAGATGAGTGCCAGAGACTGTCACCACCATTACACAGCCATCTCCAGATCAATAATTCAGCACCATACCACAGCAGGAGCCATCACATCAAAAATGTAAAGGCTCAACAAGGCACCTGGTGTCATAGCAAAGTCAGAGGTGCCAGCTGGAGGAGGCTGAAGGTCACAGCGCACAAGCAGCAGTGTCACTGTGGCTTCCAGTGCTGCTGATCAGTGAGCCTGGAGCCGGTGTATGAGCCCTCATGACATGGCAGAATGGCATGATATGACAGGACACTGGCATAATATCCCATGACTACAGGACAGGACATGATGTAGGAGAACCACTCTGACAAGCTAAAGCCAGGTGACACTCAGCATTACAGGACATGGCAGCGCTTTATATGATGTAACATGGCACAGCATAAGAAAACACGGCAGGAGAGAAGCTGGACAGATCATGACATGACCAGCTTCCCTTGGTCTCAAGGTCTTACCTCTTCAGGTAGTACTGGTTCCAGTGGTCCACCAGGCCTTTAGAGCAAACTATGTCAGCCAGTTTGGAGGCCAGGAGGCGATTGTTCCTGTTGATGGTTGACAGCTGCTCGTCTTGCAGCTGAGGAAACCAAGTGTTAAACACAGACTGAGCACATTTTAGACTTTGTGAAATCAAGCTAAACCAAAATATGACTGAGGTTCAGACCGAGCTGGCAGTCACACATGATCTTTCCAACAGTGGTTTTCATGAAACCTGGTGGCTTGATGAGCACAACAGTAGGCTGAAAGGCTTTGACTTCCATGCTGTTGAAGCTGATCTGCTGCTCAGCTAAATGAAGGCTCTCTGACCATAGGCCAGGTTTAATCAGTTCAGAGTGATTTCTCCCAGTCAGGACCATCTTAAATAAAACTGGCACCCTGATGATGGCGATTGTACTGAAGACATTAGCCACGGTCTGTGTATGTGTCCACTGACCTGGAGTTTTTTCAGCTTGAGCTGGATGTGAGCTGGCGTCCTCATGCCTTTGGTGTCCACTACGGGCAGGGCCGAGCTCACCTGCACAGGTAGACACAGGTAAGTGCACCATGGGTGTAACCTAACCCGACACCACAGTTTCTGCTGTTGCTTCTTTAGTTTCTCAGCAATTCTGCATCGCAGCCTCAGCTCCCATCAAACCTCACGTCTCAGCTTCTCAAACTACTCAGTCATCTGCAGCTAGGAAGTTGCTGCTTGTCTGCTATGCGCTTTGTTTGAATCGACAACATACTGGCATGTAGGTACATTGTAAGAAAACTATGGAGAACATGGAACAACCAGGTAGTTGGAGGAAAGACGAAATTAAGTGAATTTTTAGTAGTTTCCTAGTCTTCAATGACTGCAAACATCTGCTTTACAAATAATAAAAAAGCTGCCAAAAACAAGTGAGAAAACATCAGTTTTATAGTTGTGTATTATTGTAGACAGCAGTAGAAGCAGTACTCAGGTCCTTTACTTCAGTAAAAGTAGCAATACCACAGTGTAGCAATACACTGGTAAAGGTCCTGCATTCAAAATCTTTCTTAGAGCAAAACAGCATCAATATCAAAATCTACTAGAAGTACCATCAGTACCAGTACTCGTCCTGCAGAACGGTCCATGTCCCAGTAATGTCTCTGATACTAGATCATAGTGACTAATTACTGTGTTCATCACTTTAATGCTGCAGCTGGTAAAGGTGGAGCTGATGGTAACTACCTTACATACTTATACTGTGAAGTACTTTACATCCTGCTGGGTAGCTGGTGGATTTCCCACTGGGATCAATGGAGTCTGATGGTTCTACTGGGTTTGGTTTGATTCATCTGATTCTGGTAAGGAACTGAAGTTATCAGGTCCATGTAGTACAATAAAAAGTACAGGGTTTGTCTCTGACATGGAGTCACAGTATGAAGGAGCAGGACGTGGAAACACTCAGGTAAAGTACAGATACCTCAAAATTGTTCTTTAGTAAATGTACTGGATGACTTTCCACCACTGCTTGTAGTTGGAGATTGTGCTCAGTGGGTTGTGCTCCCATTAAGAAAAAATGAATTCTGTCTCATTCGGCTGATCTGTAGGTTCTTTCACGTGACAGTGATGTGTGTAAACTACCAGGCTTCTTTATTTAGTCTATGAATTCATCACCATAACAAATTCATGTGCAGCCACAGCTTGAAGCCCCTTGAGGCAAATTTGTGAGCTGTGATACATAAATAAAATTTGACTGGACTCTCAATAGTTCAACGCTAGACCTCGGCAGAG